GTGTACTTTTTAGACGCAGACTCTGAGGAGTCCTGCAGCAGATATTTTGTCATGCACCATGGTCTTGGCGCTTCATGCTACCGAGCATTGGTCTGCCGGAGTAATATAATATTTCTTTCAGCTCTGCTGCTGCGTTGAGCTGGAGCATTAAGTGGCAAGCTGTTTTAACATTAATGCTATAATGCAGATGGGTTTTCCTATCTCTCTCTCTCTCTACTTTTGCGCTGCACTAATGCAGGCACGTGCATTTGAATTGGTGCTTACGCTTCCAGCTCTTATTTTGTGTACTGCTTTTAGGCGCAGACTCCAGGAGTCCTGCAGCAGATGTTTGTCATATATTATGGTCTTGGCGCTTCATGCTACCAAGCATTAGCCTACCCGGCTGTTAATTTTTCTTTCAGCTCTGCTGCTGCTTTGAGCTGAACAAATCAGTGGGCGAGCTCACATATCTGTTGGAAGGCCTGGCAGGCCATCCATTTGAGCCGTTTAAGTCTGTCAGATAACTTTGAACCTTAAGCAGTTTTCTGGTAATCCTATCCTCTCATAGAGGACTGAGGATCTGCAGGCTCTGTCAGCTCCTCTGCTACCAAGCCTTAATCTGCCTGGCTGTTCATTTTTCTTTCAGCTCCGCTGATGCTTTGAGCTGGAACAAATCAGTGGGCACGCTCACATATCTAGAGTAAATTCCTATGGCAAGCTGTTTTACACCTAATGCCATAGTGACTCGGGCTGCAGAGTGAGCAGGGTTTTTCCTGCCTCTACTGCTGCACTACATTAATTAAGGCACGTATATTGATTTGGCGCTTACACTTCTAACTCTTGTTCATGTGACTGTTTTTAAGCACGGACTCCACAGCTGACATTTGCCGTGTGCTATGGTTTTTGGCGCTTCATGTTACCAAACACTAGTCTGCCCAGCTAATAATTATTATTCTTTCAGCTCAACTACTGCTTTGAGCTGGAACAAATAGTGGACTCTGTGCTATGAGCTGGCTCTGTGGAGTTTTGCAACACACATTTGTCGTGCAACATGGTTTTTGGCACTTCAGGCTACCAACACTATTTGCATAACTAATCATTATTCTTCTCATCCCAACTGAGATGCACTGAG